AGAGCATAGATTAAAATTTCTATTCCAGAATGCAGTTTGGGGATTATGAATTGCACCAGGCAGTGACATATGTGGGGTGAGACAGAGTTCAAGTGTGTATCAGAAAATGTTTTAACATCTGAAATGTGTTTTGATGAGAGCTTTGCATGGAAGGATAGCAAACAGGTATGCAATAGGGATCTGAGGACAGAATTTCTATGATTTGTCATATAGAGCAGCCATTAATGGATATATACCGGTATCTCATTACCCTATTTATATAGAGAGGCTGTTTTTATTTATATAGAGAGGCTGATTTTAAGTGGTTTATCAATAGGGATTAAATAGTGACACGTGAAAATTAATCATAATTTGAAATGCTGCATACAACAGATGAGGCTGACAGGGAATTTCTTGGCCTAAAAGAAATGCTCTGTAAGTATATTCTGTTGCATGAATAACTTAATAATTATGGTAGTTGGAACAAACACAGCTTAGGGCCAGCATTCTGCTTGATCTGAACTGCTTTAGTATCAGAAAACCTTGAAAAATATTCTATATTTCTTCCAGCATGCTTGTTTTGAAGCACAAGTGAGCTATTTGTAAAATATCTTGTATTCCTCATCATTGCTGTCCTTTAATTGTGATGTTACTGTGGTGGTTTGAGATGCATTGCTTTGCTGCAGTTCAGGTATAGCCCAAGTCCTTAACTTTCTACCTACTCTTCAGGAAACTTCCTGCCTTCCAGGTTGATTTCTTTTGACTAATACTGAGTGGCCATGGGGAGAGAAAAAGAAATGATAATCCCTTCACACAAGGCAATGACATGTTAGATGGCCGAGACTGTAGCAGGAAATGATCATCAGAAGTCTGAGTAATTTGATGTTGTTTTCTCTTTTTGACATAGCCATCAAGTGCATCAAGAGCTTAAAATACCAAGGTGGACATAACCATATGAAATACTGCTTTTCAGCAAAGAAAAACAGTGTTCAGTTGCTGGAATTGTTGGTGCTGTAGTTTCTCATTCTTTTCCTATCGTAGTTTTTAGTTTTAGTGATTTTTTTTCCCTTTCCAAGGCATCCCTATGCCTGCCATGATCACTTAGCTAACCAGTTTGCTGTATGCTCTCTCTACCTTAAAGTGCATCCACTAGCTTTCCTGTGCAATTGGTTAGTGTTGGTGTATGTCTGAAATACCTGAATACACTGTGCTCAGAAGAGCTGTACAGAAAATTATTCAGATGCTTGCTCAGATAATTAAAATCTTTGTTTCTGTTTGTATCCATTTTTGCTTTTGCTTTCAATAAATGTTCTAGCAAACAACTGGTAGGAATGTTTGCTGGGAGAGTGAATACTTGAAATTCATTGGTAGGGGTTTGCACTAGGGCTGTGCGAAGCTTTGGTCGCTGATTCAAGTCACCGGAGATTCAGCCCGATTCAGTGGGCGAATCTCCAAATCTGAATCAAATCTGGAGCCCCTCCAATCTCTCTGAATTGAATCGGAACCCTCTGAATCGATTCAACAATTCGGCCATAGACACAGCTTTAAATGTTTTTTCTACATACCTCAAGGTACCACGCGGCTCATAAATGCTGAGATGCTGGGGCGAATGGAGCGTCCCACAGGAGCGTTCGGGGGGAGGGGTCCCCAGTGCGCTCAGCAGAGGACCCAGAAGTGAAGCAGAAGTACTTCTGGTCCACTTCCAGGTTCGCTGCTGAGCATGCAGAGGGCTCCCCCCATGCTCCTGCAGGATGCTCTACCCGCCCCAGCAATGCACCATTCACAAGACAGGCCTGGTACCTTGAGGTATGTAGAAAAAACATTTAAAGCTGTGTCTGTGTCCGAATCGTTGATTCTCCAAATCAGCATCGAATCTTCAGATTTGGATTAGGCCAAATCAAATCATGGGCAGTGATCCGAATCAACAAATCAAATCACTGTCCCCGATTTGGGCTGAATCCAAATTGAATACAGCCTGTTTCACACACCCAGCAAAAATGTGAAACTAAGGAGTTACATTCATCCAGCCAGAACAAGAAAGAGAAATGTGTGACTTGTATGCAAACAAGCCTTGCTTCACAGTTTAAATTTCAACTCCTGGCATCCGATGAGGTACCACACAAGAACTGCTGGTTGGCACAGTAAACATTTAGAATAATGACTACAAGAAAATTGCGTTCTGCTTCAGAATAATTTGTGAACAAAAAGGTAGGGAAAAATGGAGCTCATTGTTAGCTATGAACTATTCTCTTGGGTGTACTAAACAGAAAACAACCAATAAATGCCACAGATGTGCCTAAATTTATATAAATAAAGGAAAATAAGCAGCATGTCATGATATTAAAATACATGAAAAATGTTTAAAAGTTTTGAGTATATTTAGGAACAAATTTTGCTTTTGTTTTTTTCAATATAAATATATATGGAGATAGTTCTATACATTTCTAAGCTAATTAAGGTGCACTGCCAGGTCAGCAAATTAGAGGGCATGAGAATAGGGCAGTGAGTCAGAAGGTCATGATTTCTACCTTTATCTTTGCTATGGAATCACTGTATTTCATTTTTGGGCAAGTCATTTCACCACTCTAATTCCCTGTTGGTTAAAATGAGGATAACACTTAGGTACCTCAAATAGCTGTTTTTGAGGGATTAGTTAATAGGCCAACGCCTACTTATTTTATTTCAGTAAGCCATTTAATTGGGACAACTCACCTCAGTAGAATGACCATTTATTTGTAAATTGCTTTGAACACAGCAAACTAAACTCATTCTTGATGTAAAAGTGATGCTAGTAAACCAAAGAGCATGAGGAATGCTGCTTTTTTGGAGTGAATTAACAAGACACTCACTTCTGAATATGGACTGATGACACAGAAAGCAGATAAATTCAAGTAAAAAAATCCAAAGGCTGGTTAGGCACTCCTATATGTACTACTAATTGGCAATCACAAATTACATCACAATCATTCTAAGTCCTGTCCAAGGAAATCTTTCTGATCTGTTTGGCTGCATACTCGTAAAATACACGGCTTCTATTGTCACGATTTGTCCTTTATTTACCATGTAAGTTGTTCCATGAGTAAAATATTTTCCTGAAGTCCCTTGATACTTGAGACCTTTTTTAACAGCTTACATTCCCCGGTATTGTATACAACAGCGGACAGGAACCCTTACTAATATCAGTCATTTTTTCTTGAGAATTATGTATATTTCGCTGACATCTCCTTCACTCCAGATCCCATCCATTCCAATAAAGATTATTTTTAATAGTGCCTAAATGGCATTTAAATCCATCTAGTCACTGGACTAGAGCTGAACAAAATGAAATCATTTTCAACTCTGTATTGGAGATTTGTTGGAACTTGCAGATTTTTAGTTTTCTGGACCTTCTAGAAGCCTCTCATCAACGTGCGTTTGACGTTTTGGTTAAAGCTCTGAACTAGGATTCAGAAGACCTGGGTTCAGCCCCCCCATATATTCAGAGACTGCCTATATTACATTAGGCAAGTCATGTAGGGTCTTGTTCTTTGTTGCTCTACACCTTCCACAGTCATTTACACTAACATCAACTGCATGAAATGCTACCGGATAAAAATGGTAGTTTATACTACTTTTGCACTTGTTTTGTACTGCTGTAAATAATTGCACAAATACAAGGCAGTGAATGACCAAGCCCTTAACATCCAAGTTCCTCAGTTTCCTATCCATAAATTGAAGGATACTACTTGCCTACCTCACTGAGCTGTTGTAAGGATAAAACCATCAATGTCTGCATGGTGCTCAGATGCTAGAGGGATGGGTCCCCAGGCCAATTGAACCCAATTTCCCTTTTCTCCCCCGGCTCCATAAAAGACCTGAAAGTACAACAGAGCTATTTAAGACGCATCATACTGTCCGTTTCCCAGTCTTCTTCTTACCTCCAATGAAAGAATTGCTGTTATTTGTCTCTTGTACAATTTTCAGTCCTCACCTATTTTTCTTTTAAAAGGTCATTCATTATTTAGCATCCTCCTGTACTCCTTCTACATGTCAGACATTGAACTTGAATTGCTTATGCCTATTACATATTATTTACAACATAAAAAATGATTTTCACAGTTTGTTCTTGAATGTATTTCCATTTTCCTCATTTCTTGTTTCATCTGTGCTTTTGGGCCATTCATTTGATCTAGACTATTTATACGAGAAACATGATTAAAATTGGACTTTTACACATAAATTGCACTTAGCTTCTAATCACAATTTGTATACAAGCAGGCAGTAGTATCACTAACAATATGACTTCTTTACTCTTTCTGTGGAATATAATTTATGCTGGAGACAGGACACTGACCAGCCAAGCTAAGGCAGCTGCAGTGTCATATCATATTTCTTATTTTTTTTAATGAAACAGGATCCTTTAGGGAGGTTGGATGGCTCAGGGGGAAAGATACTAAGCAGGAACTGGGGAGATACAATTTCAGTTCCCAGCTCTGCTACTGACAGTCTGTATTATCTTGAATGAGTCGCTTGGTCTCCCTCTTCAGGACCCATCTGTGCCTTAGTGGGTTCTACCAGATTGCTTTTAATCTGCAATCCTTTAACACCAACATTACATTGCTATGACAGTCATAGAATACATGAGAAAAGAATTATTTTCTCACGTAATGGTTCCCCACATCCATTTTGTTCTTGTGTTCTCTGCACAAGGGTTCTTGTCCTAGTTATTTTACCTTTTCTGGCATTAACCGTTCTCAAAACAACTCTCACACTTAGTCTAAATATTTTAGGTTTCATTGCATTATCTTTACTGCTCCCTGTAGATTGACACTGATATATTCCATTTACTCTAAGTTCACATTTTCTCATTACTCCTTTTCTCCTTTAAAATAATTATTATTTGTATTAACATAGTGCTAAGGAACCCTAGCGATGAATCAGGACCCACTGCCCCCCTCACCTTCCTAAGTTTTAAGTTCACTTGACCTATTAGCAAAGCGCAAATTTAATGGTTAATTTCTGTGTATTTATAAACCAAACAGAGAGAGCCTGGTATCCCAGCAGACATTCCCATCTCTAAAAGTGCATTGTACTCCCGGATTAGCACCTCAGACGCAGAAAACACCACAAATCTGCACTACCCACAACAAGATGTAGATTCTTCACTACGACTTGCCAGAGAGGAGGTAACTTCCTTATGGGGTGTAGGAAGAAGAAACATGTCTTTTGTTGGTTTGCTTCTTTCTTGTTTTCTCAAAAGGCATTTCCCTGATAGAGTTGTACTTTGTGGGTCTAAATATCCTTTACGCTATGGCCATACCATTCAGGGCTTTGGCAGTATGAAAAGGATAAAAAGAGGGAATAGTTTCTGTTTACTTAACAGAAATGAGAGCCAATCTTACTTAATGGAAATGAGAGCCAATCCCCATATGTGGAAATTTTTATTTTTTATGTTAGCCACGTGCAGTGATGATTAGTGATGCTACTGCCAAGCAGGCAATAGCATCACTAATAATATTAATTCTTTGTATGGAGTATAGGTTATGTATCAGCAGTTTATGTATCTTAAGCTATGGAATTCTAGTTTATCATTTTACATAAGGAGTCTGTTTTTATTTAATTTATGGTGTCTATAAGTTGCTTTCCCGAGTACTTGAAAAACACATCCCTTCCTAAAGAGTTTGTACAATCTAACGTTAGTCATTTAGAAACTGCCTGGGCATCCTATATATCATGAAATGCATGGGGAAGGAGGAACACAAGTTAAGGTTTATCCTATTCTTTGATCACTTGGGTTTGACAGGTTTGTAAAGCATGACAGGGCCTCTTAGAGGAGAAATCCTGAAAGCCTTCCTCAGGTTTCATGATTTGACGTCTAGTTGAATCAAGAACAGTAGTACTGCATTTATCATGGACTAGATTATCTGTAATCAGTTGAACATAACCCTAGTGCCCTCAAAAGAGATTGGGGAAGCTTGATCTGGTTCCTTGCTTCAACTTCCTAACTGAGGCCTTATAGTTGGCTGAAACAGAAGTTTTCTGGGGATGTTCACACTGTATCCAGATCTAGATCTGAAATCAGAAGCCCAGGCCTTTCTCTAGGCTCTGCTCTGTATGTTCATTAAAAAGCAGAATTCAGTTAATCTGTCAAGCCAAGTATCTGTTTTAATAAATAACTTCCCTTATCAGTTGTTTCCTCCTTTGTATCAGATTGTGGCCAAAGAAAGAGAAGTGTCTGAGTGGAAAGAGAAATATGAAGAAAGCAGAAGGGAAGTGATGGAAATGAGGTGAGTTGCTAACACAGCTGAGTCACTGATTAAATTAATCAGATCTCTTTTCGCACAAGCATATTGAGATAAATTTGCCCATACTTATTATTTTAGTACTTTTTGTAACTACTCTTTAGATTGCTCCTATCCCATTTTCACTTTCTCTTTTTCATACACAATTGGCAATTTATCTCTCTTGAGGTAGTCCTGAGGAGACACCTTCACCAGTTTGGTCAAGGGTGGGCAAAATATAGCCCATGGGCCAGATGCAGCCCATCATCTGATTGAATCTGGCCTGCAGGCAGGCACCCACCAATTAATTGTATTATGCCCAGCCAGTGACTGCCCCTCCTGCACTCTGCATGGGGCCAAGTCCTGCCTGCTCCTGCTTGGGGCAGTACGCGCTGCGCTCCCAGCCTCCCCCTGCTGGAGGGCACCAGCCCTGGCCAGCAGGTACAGCTTCTAGGTAGGACTGCTGCTGCTGCTGGCCAGGGAACTGCTGAGCTCCCCAGCCTCCAGCAACTTCTCCTTCTGTCCCTGCTGCAGTGCTCTGGGCAGCAGGTAAGGAGGGGAAGTTACAGCATTGAGGGGAGCGGGGTGAGCTCTGCCTGCAGCTTGCATGGCTGGGCAGGGAAGCATGTGGATGGAGGGGATGAAGGAGCTTGGCTGCTTACAAAGCCCTGCTGGGCAGGCATGGGGCAGGCAGGTGAGGTGGGAGCAGCAGCAGCAGGAGCGAGCATAGGCTTGGTTCAGCCCCATCAGGCAGGTAGGGTGGGAGCAGCAGCAGGAGCCAGTGTGAGCTTGGGGCAGGCATGTGGGGTGGAAGCAGCAGGAGCCAGCGCAGGCGCCGTTGCAGTCCCACCAGGCAGGTATGGGACAGAGACCAAGAGAGCCAGCGATGCCAGGCTCGGCACCCTGTCCCCCACTTCTCTCTCCTAGTGGCTTCTCTTGCTGCCCGCCAGCAGCAGCTGCTTTCCCTGCCTTGCAGTGTGCTGCAAGCCAGCTGATCCCCCTTTCCCTCAGCCCACCTGCAGAGGGGCTTGGCTAGGCTGAGCCACATTGCAAAGAGCAGGCAGCTGGGAAGCCCCCCATGCGCACACCCAACCCACCCGCACTCCACACACATGCACACCATCCCCCACCATAGCCACACACCTCACACCTCAACCATAGCCACACTCCCCACACACATCTCATACTGACACACATACCCATGTCCCACACACACCTCCCCACACACGCACCCACACCCCCTCACACACTCCACCCTCCCACCATATCCACACCCCCACACTCCCCCCATACACCCCGCACATGCCCCACCCCCAACCATATGTACACACACATCCAACAGTCCCATACACCCCACACCCCCACCACACATATCCACACATACATTCCACGCATACACCCCTCCACACACACACTGACACACCCCACCTGCACTGTACCCACACCCCACACACACCCCACCCCCAGCATACCCACACATACACCCAGCAGTCCCACACACCCCAGGCCTCAACCACACCCGCATACACCCGCAGCATACCCACACCCCCTACCCCACACAATATACAAGCAACCCCCCAAAAGGAGTGCTTCCTGGGCCAGGGGAGAGACTTCCAGTGGCAAAGGTCAGGGGTTAGGGGGTAGGGCTTCTGGTCACAAGAGGTGACCAAGGGGCGGGACACCTGTTAATGGATGTGGCTACCCTTGTGGGCCTCGATGCCTCACCAGAACTGATTAAGCAGCCCTTCAGCCGAAATAATTGCCCACCCCTGAGTTAAGTCCTTTAAGTAGGCAGAATAGTGGGGCTTAATAATACAGTATTTCGTGTAGACCCTCTATGGGTGACAAGTTTCCCAACAAACTGTGCTGGTTACCTGTTGTTAACTAGGTAAATCACATGTGTCAATTTAAAATTCAGTTTTCCTATGTATTTGGGCTGGTAAACCTCAGTCACGTGAATATTCAAAGAGAGAGCATGAGTAGTACTGGCAAAAGAGATTCATTTTAAGTATTCAGGTGTCTTAGTAGCAAAGTTGTTGGTAATATTCACCCAAAACAGGTTGTTAAAGATGAAATGATTTGAAATAGCTGTGTAAGAGGCCAAATTCTGCCTTGATGTTATTTTCTAGGATTATTGCTATAATTTCAAAGGGTAATAGTAAACTGTAGCTTCACCATGCTGTTACATTAGATGCACTAGTCAAAAGATTTCCTTGGTAGTTTACTGAAATTTTTATCTTTATGCTATTCTGTATAAATAATGACTTTGTTTTTCCCATTATTGGTATCACTGCATAAGATGGTCTCTGCACCAAACTAAATTTGAGAACAAGACTACCCAGAAAAGAGACCAGTAGCAGACTTTCTGTAAGGGCTTCAAGGTTTTACTTTTTTCCCAGTATATTTTAATTTTTATCTGGTAAATGAAAGAAAAGTATTTTGGGCCATTGTTAATCCATTGCTTCCCTAAGGAGCAAATTCTTAGCATCAGTTCTGAGATTTTAAAGCTTTGGCTACGTTTTTCAATATCTTTTCTTGCAAATGCATTGTTTAACCACACACGGTAAAGCCAAATCTAGGGTTCTATCAAATGTTGATCTATATGTGTAACTCTTGTTGATATGAAGGAGAATTATGGCCCTCAATTGAGAGTGATGAGAGAGAGTTCAGATAGGGATGTCTAAGGGAGTTTTGCATTAATTAAGTTTTGAGAGTAATTTTTAATGTGGGGAAAAGAAGAATGACACAAAATTGGGGGGAACTGCCTTAGACAGGACAAAAATAAGCTAAGGAACAGGGAAACATTAGAAAACTGAATAGAATATATCCCAGTTGTTAGTTTGAAAAGTCTTAGCAAATAAATCTTGAAATAAATTGTCCAAAAGGCATCTATTCAGTGGGAGAAATACACTCTTGTGACATTAAATGCTGGAACAGCCTTGGGACAGTAAATGAGAATTGCAGCAAGCAAACATTACTTTGTAGTACACAAAAAAGCAACGTAACTTTAGGCTGTGTACATAAAGATGAATTGTCACCAGAGGGAAACTGTGGTACAGGGGTAGGGTACACAGGTGTAGTACATGGGTGCCAGAGCATGGCAAGCAAAGGCATTTTGTTTGGCATGCACACATCGGGGTGGGGCTGCACTGCCATAGAAAGGATCAAGCCCGTTGAGGCTCCCCTGCTGTTCACCCCTGGCATGCCAACATCTTCCAAGTTGAGGTTGTGGGTATTTTTGGTGCTCTGCTCAAAAATGTTGTCAGGCCTTGCTATAGTCTGTTCTATGGACCTTGGCAACTACACATCGACTACAGCATTCACTCACATGCAGAGCGGGATGGGAGGAATTCAGAAGCGAGCGATGCAAAATGAGCAGAGAATGGAGAAACTGGCCTGTTAAGAAAAAATATAAAGGCCAACAAAGTTTGGCTAAGTCTGATTTAATAAAAAGAGTTTTTGATGATGTTTTGAAGGGTGTACACACCAAGAAGGAAGGGAAATGCCTGAGTATGCTTACATGCAGGTATTATTATAAGTGTAAAGGACAAATGGAAGGGAAAAAAATTAGGCTGAATGTAAAGGAAATCTTTTTGACAGTGAAACCTGAGTGTCACTCTCAAAGTTCACCTGAACTTTTTAATCTAAACTGAGCCAACCACTTTATGACTGAGCGAAATAGTAGAACATTTTTTTTTTGTAGTAAGCACTTCTCCATTGGCAAGAAAGTGAACTGGGTGGTGGTATGTCTTTCCACATTAAACTTCTATGGGCTAATGCGGACTGAGAATTTACACTGTTACAATACAGAGTTTAACATTAAGTTTAATGTCCTCAGATTCCTGTCTAACATATTGTAGCTTGCCTGTGGAGACAAGGCCTACATTTTTTTTTTTAATTTTCCTATTGTAGAAATCATGGGGCTCTTTGAATATCCATTGAGTTCTTCCTTTCAAGGGAAAATCCTTACAGCTACTTTTGGGTTTGAATTTAAATTGCTTTTTTAAAACTGAAACTCAAGTACTGAAAGTGTCAAGAGAAGTCTCAGGAACTCTGAGCAAGTCTCCAAAGTGCTTCTAGACGCTGCTAAGTCCTGTTCGTCCTGCTGCAGCTCTGCCCTACTTTTTGACAAATAGCACAGCATGTGACCTTGCATTCTGTGGTCCAGTGCTACAAAGACCTCCACAAAAGCGCAGATTGTTGCTTCTCCCAGGAGTCTCCCTGAGGTCAGCAGGATTACACGTGCATATAAGATTTGTGCTTCTCAGAGCTTGGCCCTTGCAGGACTAGGACAAATGCATTCAGCAATGGGCAGGAAAGACTTTTTCTTTCTGAAGGCTGGACTTCTAATGCATTTCTGGAGTCAGCTTTAATTTAGGTTTCATTTACTATCAGGTTTTGACACTGGATCTCTCTTTCTGCTAGTCACCTAACCCATTTGCAGCATAAATGTAGCAATCACATTAAACAAAGACTAAAGAATATAAGTAAAAAAATGTCGAAGGAATATTTTGAATGTGGACCAAAAGGAAACAAAGGTTGTGGTGATTTTATTTTTGTAGACAAGTCATGTGTGGCTCGTTAAAAGCACAGATAAAGCTAGTCTCATTTCATTAGCTTGATTTGGCTCTGCAGAGGAGCAGCTCAGCTTCCTAAATCACTCTTAATCTGCTTATTTTAGCTAACCTCTTTCCAGGAGGAAAATATAAAGCATGATGTAAATATATGAAATAAAATAGGGGCATTTTAATAAAATTATCATTTAGCTGCCTTAGTTCCATAGCAGTTTCACTAAAATAGGGAATGAGTGGATTCTGTGTTGTATAATTAACTATTTTTATCTCATTCTCTTAATTGCTGATCGATCCTTACTGCATATTTGAAGTGCATAGGATTAGCCAGGTATTTTTTCAAATGACAGTCACCCAAGGTCCTCTCATTTTTCCCTAATAAACCTAAATTTCCTGGAGTACAAATTTTAAAACAAACACAAGAAATAAAAAGGGTCCAGGCCAGGGAAGATCGGGGGGGAGAACAAATATGTTGCAAATTAACTCTTCATGGTTTCAGATCTAAAATATATATATGACCCTGAATCTAATTAATGGTTGAAGTATTTGGGGGGAAATTTTTAATAAAAGCTGGTGTTGATAAAGTGAATTTGTCCTGGCTTCCTATTACATTCAAATGGGGAATTTAGGGGGAGGGAAAGATAAACACCTTGACTTTTTCAGTTTTACTGAATTGGTTGCTTTATTTTTCTTCATATTGTCCATTTTGCAGTAGTGTCAAACAAAAAAACCAAGAGATTATACAGACTGTATAAAAGTGGGGAATAGACTTGTATTGAATTTTGCATAATACAGTGCAGTTATTTAATAGCCTATTTTCCAAGTAGGCCATTAGCAACTGTAAGATTTGCCATCATTGGTATATACAGATTTTCTTTTCATTTCTTTTATAGGAAAATAGTTTCAGAATATGAGAAGACGATTGCTCAGATGATAGGTAGGTGTTACTGCTTTGGAAGATGCTATTCTGTGCTCTGATTTTGTGAAGAGAGCATAGAAATGTGGTTATTTCCGTGGCCATAATTCTGACCTTAGGCATATCTGTTGAATGTTTTTGAATTTCATGAGAACTGGACATAATCTGAGGTTGGAATTATGTGCTGCCAGTTTATGCTGAAAAACAAGTCCTCCGTTCTGAAGCACTTGAGGCACGTCTTTCTTCTGTTGCTTGTACATCTCTAGGATGTAAAAATATGTTGGCCGAGATCCATGAATATATTCTGCAGAAAGGAATTTGGGTCATTTCAGTTATTTTCACATACACAGCTGCCATCCTGACGTCCAGTATCCACACACGTGGGTAGATCCAGGGTTTTGTAAAGGGGAGTGTGTGCTAACAGCAACTAGTTGCAGGGGTGGCTTCACCCCTGCTACCAGCCTGCCCTCCCACCCCAGCAGACTGCCCCATGACAGTTGCAGCTGGGGTCTTTTTTTAAGTCCCTCAATAAGGTAAGACTACTTACTCTCTTCCCTCCCTTCCTGTTCATGCACAGCAGCATGTCCCCTCCCCTCCCATTCTCACTTTCCTCTGCTCACTACAGCCACTGTCCCTGGATGATCTGTGGGGAGGGAGACTCCAGAGCTGCTCCACCTGGGCCGCACATGGAGCCAGGCTTTGCCAGAGAGAGAAGTGGCAGTGGCATTGACAGTGATGGCAGCAGCAGGCAGATTCTCATCCCCTGAGCCTGCTCCCAGCTGCTAGGACACAGCTGGGGTGACCAGACAGAGAGGAGGAATCTGCCTGCCACTGCTGGTCCTGGCTGAGCCCAGCTTCTCTCAGAGCCCATCTGGAGCCCTCCTTCCCCCTCAGGCTGCTGAGCACAGAGTAGAGGGAGGGGGGTGGAATTCTTACCTGATTTATGGACTTAAAAAAAAGAAGTCTCCAGCTGTTACTTTTGCAGCAGTATCAATTGAAGGAGGGTGGGTCTGTGCCACTTCACCGGCTCTAGGTCCACCCCTGCCCACTCATGTTTCTTCCCAGAAACAGAGGCCCTCTTTCTGAATTATTTTTATTCCAACAGAATTCCGATTAACTCCAACCCAATTCAGTGACTGGAAAAAGCCAACCCCCTTCAATAGCTGATTAAAATCAGTGGATTCCTTGGTTCTTAGATAATCACAGGATCTGGCCCTAGAATTACCAGAAAAATATCTTGGTGTGCATATCATCTAGAAAATAAAACATTATTTGCAAAATTTTTGCAGAAACAGAAAAATGTCAAACTTCAAATGCTTACTATTTTTAAAAGCCATCTTTGGAGAATCTCATCATCTTCCTTGTCTTGGGATTCTTGCTTTCTTATCATAGCACACTAGTGGTATGTTCCCTAGCATTATTCACTTGGGACTCTCTCTCAGGGACCAGAAACTAAATTATGACATTCAGGGCAACGAACTAATTAGAGCCAGGGGCTGATGAGAAGTGTAGGACATAATTCAATTCAAGGCAAGTTGGGCACCAAGTGCAAGCATGTCATGGTAACCACTTTCCAGGGTGTAATTATTTTATTAAAAAGATGGTTGTATGTGTTTATCTCCCTACCAGCTGCTCTGAGATGCCCATAAAAAAGACATTAAAAAATATATAAGGCTGATAGGAGATGAATTTATGTCTATTTCTTTTGGAATACAAGATTCAGAAGGGAGGCCAGTTCAAACGAATGACTTCATCAGACAGTGGAGAGGATGATCGCATTGCGATGTTTTTGGGGTGTTTGCAACTGTTCTTTACAATGTAGCATCATTTCTAGCAGAGAGTGGTCATAGAAAATACAAGGTATCTGGTGTGTATGTGAATCTGTCTTAACGTAAATTTATAATTAGGAAAGTTTTCACTGCATCTGTTAGTATGTGATCATTGACGACATGTGTGAATGTATTGTGTTTCCCTCTGTTTAAATTGGCATCCATCATTTCTATATTGTAAGTGCATGATGACAAATGTTTTGATTACTTTTAGTTTTTTCTACATGAATATCTATATTCTTAGAGTGATATTTTATAGTGTTGATACTGCCAGCATGAATTGCCTAGATTCATGGATTTATAGGCAGATGCTGCAGAAAGAACAGGCTAGTGACTTAGAACCTGATTTGAATAAGACTAGAGTCATGTTCAGATAAGTAGGTGTGTGCAGCAAACATGCTTGTTTTTGCCCAAAGGCAAAAACAAGTAGACTGACTGTTTTTTGGACAGGTTCTGCCATTCTGCTTTTCCCACAATAATCCGTCAGATCCCACTGTGCTTTCATACAAATCAAGAGACCCCTAGAAACAATGTTCCCAGCCCTGCAGATTAACTGAACTGAATTATAAATGAAGAACAGAAATCAACCCCAAAATAAGGCCTTAAACTGTTTCAAATATGAGTACGCTAATTGCTATTCCCCTTGGAATTTGAGGGTTTTGGATACCTATTGCATTTGATTGCCTTTGGCAGGATCTCTGTCGCATTTATAATTCACGCTTCATAAGAGCATGACCAGAACACCCTGTCTGCTGAGCGCTCCAGTTTTTTACATTAGATCCACACTAGGGTGTCTCTGCCACTCCACAGAAAGCTGGTTCAGTGCAGTGGAGGTTCAAGCCTCGAGTCCTCCAAATGTTACTTGGCTGGTCTCTTTTCTCTGTTTCATGTCTGGGATTGGTACATGCCAAAAATGAGCTTGCTTTTTCTGTCCCCAGTGTTTTCAGTAACACAGACAAAATGGCATCTTGGGGTTGTGTGGTGCATAGTCAGAGACAGAGAGCATGTACTCATTTCTTGTGTTGTGTCCCAATGACTGAACCTGCTTTCAGCCTCCACCTAAAGTTATTTTTTTCAACTGGTGTTATTTCAAATTCAGTCATTCATCTACCAAGGATGCTTTTATTTTCTGCTGGTTGAGGAACCTATTTATTTCTCCTTTGGTTTCAGTGTAGCAATGCCACATTGTTGTAATGCAATACAAAGAAAAGGAACTTTTGAGGTAACAGCAAATGAGTTATTGTACAGGTGGCTTATTTTAAATTGCAGCCAATATTTCAGGTTATCTGACCATGCTGTTAGTCTCAGTTTGAAGGCATGCATTTATTTATTAACTAATTTATAAAGCTAATTTAATGACTATAGCTTCAATAAAAAGTTGTCTGAAAGGCTTCTCAGAACTGGCCCCTGCTTATTGTATATCCTGGATGTTGCAAGCCCCGTAATCATGGTGTCTGATCTCCATTCAGCAATATACAGTATCACAGTTTTATCTGATGAGGCGTTGGATGAATTGAAACTGATGCCATCATGTGAAAGAATGTCCCTATGGAGTAAATTCTCAAGTTATGCAGCTGTTCTCCTTAACATCCTTTCAGACAAATCAAGAATAATTAATATTCCTGATCACGGAACAAAAAGGAAGTTCCTTATGCTTTGCATTCACAGTAGTAAATGACTCTTCTTGAATCGGTTTAAATTATATTTTTAAAAGAAATTATAGCAGGTTTTAGAGAGAGTTCTACATAATGTAATTTTCTATTTTTCATCAAATGTTATTGACTAGAATGGCATTAAATTCTGCAGCGGGATATCTGATTATGTTTTTAACACGGGGTTTCATCATTAATGTAGAAGCCCGATTTGAAGGTTGCTCTCTCTGTTGCCACACATTTTGCTATGGAGAAAAGAGATTTCATGTAACTAAATAGAGAACAGGATTATGTGGCATGTAGAAGAAGGTGATTGGCTATACCCTCTGCACAAATACATGAAAAAACAATTATTATATATATATTTTTTTGCACACAATGCTCCTTGCTAATAAAATAAAATGAGGAAAATAATGTACTTCAACAGGAAAATACATACTTGAATTGTTGTATGTATGACTACATTCTTTGCTCTTTATAAAGCCATGTACTAGAAAGGATTTCGTTAGTCTTGACCCTCTTTCACTAATCCCTTTCAAAGTAATATTCATTTAGGTCCGTAAGTCCTCAAAGAGCTTTTCCAGATTGTCATGCATATGTATATTTACATAAAACCCAGTGAGTGCCATTGCTTTTGATGGGAGCAGGAGCAAGTCCAGTACTGATAGTCCATACCTAGAAAGCTAAATTTTGTTCTACTTACATAACTCATACACAGTTCCATGTAGAGGTCTGTAGATCTGTGCTATCTGAATAACAGTAGTCACTAAGTAGCTGCTAACTGGTGCCTTTTCAAGTACTTTCTGACTGTTGTCCTCATTTGTTGCCTTTCTCATTCTGTCCTTTCGTGTTTGCTTTCACCTCTCTATTGCAAGTTTTACCCTAAAAAAGAAAGTCCTGTTCCACAATTTTTCCACGTAGGAATGAGTGTTTAACTCCAAAATGGGGTGCATCAACAGAACGAGGTGAGAAAGCTCACCTAGCTGTTGTTTTCACTGTGCTGGGCTCGTGTCAGCATTTACCGCTGTGCACCAAATGAGTTCCATTTAGGATTGAAACAGGAACATGAGGCCTAAAACGTAATGCTCTCTTTTGCATAGGGATGCATTTTGCCTATCATCTTTCTCTTTCCAAAGTGGCATAATTGTCCATATTTTTTCTTTATGTATCCGTTTTGTGTTTAATTTTTATCATTGATTTTGAAGTGTCTTTTTTTTATTTTTTTCCTTCAAAAATGTCTCCATATATTTCTAAGTTTGAGGATATTGTTAAACTCTCACTATGAAAACAAAAGAAGTGTGTGCTTTCTGCATTTAAGGTTGTTGCATTACTTTTTTTCTGCTTTCCTAACAAATTCCCTGATTTTCTATTTTGCTTCCATTTTTGTTGCTTCTTGCTATTTGCTTGCAAAACAAACAAACAAACAGGCAAGCCTGGTAAGTAATGCTTTTCACCACCTTTGACACCTGCATTTTGCATTTTTGTTGCTTTTATACTTTGTATTTGCTGCATCCCCATTATTAAATGATATAAATATTCCTAACAGATACTGAAAACAGGTTTAAAAGCTATTGAATAACATCCTTTTATTGCTACTCTTGAACAAATATCTCTAATTCTTTGTTCGTTAAAAATATATCTAGGAATTTTACTTTTGTTTGAATTATTATTTTTAAATTGTGAGAAGTGTTCTCAAGAGACAGAAGCCTCTTCATTAAGGCAATTAAAGAATCATGTAAGCTTATATAAAATGTATGCATTTCTAATTCCTGAAATAGGATTTGACCGGCAGTCTTGTTGACAATATTGTTCTGTTGAGCAGTGATATCTTTGCAGCTAAATTGAAGAATACATCTCTCAAATCTGCCAGTCCCACTCACAATGATGGCAGGTTTTCCATTGTGTTCATCCACTCTTTGTTCGGGCTAGATCTAAATGCTCCAGGCAGTGAAGTGTCTGCCATTTCTTGTGATGCTGTTCTTTAGTTCGATAGATATAACTCTTTACAGTATGTTTTTCCTATGCATGCTAGATTTCCATTCCTTTCATTTTATTCCTTTTACCTTGTTTCACCTAAATATTTCCTTTCTCCTTGGAGACTAAGGTTGGGTTTGAAGCTCACTCTCTGGCCAGATGACAGGTCAAAGACTTGGCAGGGATAGCATTTAACACATTGGTCAGAAGAATTGAACACCTGATGTGCACTCTTCTAATCCCATCTGGTCACCTGAAGAAACAATGTTACTTATAATTGGAAGGAGCTGGTTGAGCCTTTCCTGACAGAGAGAAAGCTGCCAGGGAACAAGGAAGAGACGGGAAAGGAGTTTTCTATAGGGATTTGAAGGGGCTGTGGTGAATTATTCACAGGTTTGACTGCCATAGAAACAGATGAGAAGGAAATCACTCAAATACAACAGGACTTAGTTTAATTGCCTTAAAAGAGGCAACATTTCATTTCCTTGATCTGTCACTAGCACCTGATCATATGTGGTTCCATGCACATGGACCCTCACAATGAAGTGGGATCGTTTTGGGGAGTATGAGCTTGTGCATCCAGCCCTTAAATTATAGATTGTCCTCAAGGGTGTAGGTTGCAGCTCTGTTGGTCTAAAGACATAGGCAGACAAGGATCTTTGGGTGAATCTGATATCTTTTATTAGATCAACTTCGTTTTGATGTGTTTTGAGAACCAGGTTGTCCTCAAGATGCATAAAAACTAACCTTGTGGTGGGACTGAATTTAGAAGTCTTCTGAGAGGAAAACAAATGAAGGATAGCACATTCTCCTCCTGTATTTACTAGTCACAGTGGGTACACAGCATATGTTTTTGAGATCACAGTTGAAAAGACCACAGCGAATCATCCTAATATTGATTTCCAAAACATTATTAAAAGGAAATTCTACTCTGAAAACTGGCATGGCATTCACCTCAGTTTTTCTTTATTAAATGTGTTCAGTTCACAAATAAAGAAATGTTGTAATTAACTTAAATTTGCAAAGTTAAATCTACCCTGGGTTCTTTCCATGTCATACATTATTACTCATAAAGTATCTGCAGATCAGGCAATACCTGGGTAACTCTGTTGACCTCCATGGGTTTGCAACGTGTTACTCAGTACATCCAAGTTGAGGTGCAACATAGAAATGCAGTTGACACTCTACTATGTTGGCTAACAGAAAAGGCAGTACAAACCTCTGAATACCCCAAAGAAGCAAATCTTTTATATTTGACGGTGCCATATTAGAAAGTTCCATGTCTGAGCTGAGCTGAATTTTAAATGTTTATTTCAAGCTAAGGCTTCTGTTGAGATGGAAAACTGACCTCTGCCATATAGAATGTAGTAGACCTAAATGGACAGTCTCAGGCTTTAAAATGTTGCCTGTTCTTTGTTCAGGAGAACCTTTTACCTCATCATGGATGTAATAAAACTCTCTCACCTCACTGTTATGTTTTCATTTCAACTTCATTCAAAATGGTCTATAAAACATGGATCATGAGAATCATATTTCACTGGTATGAAAAATAAAGCATTTTATTAAGCAGAATATTAGCACTTCCTTTCTGTAGCTGCAAAGAGATGCCAGTTTGTGTCTTGGCCAGTGATCACCTTGAGTATAGGAATACTAATCCCAACACATGTCTACTTTTGCCTGGTTTCCTCTTTTAATTTGAGAGATGAGAAGCTCAAAAAGTTTAGTTTTACTTTGCTCATACATTTATAATACACCTGAATTTAAATCTGGTGCCAAGTTTCCTGACTGATATTGCCCAACAATGAAACTTGTGAGCCAGCTTTGTACAATCTATGGTCCTAATTTTGCATGAGCAATACTTGGATTGAATTAAATGAGGCCCCCAATTTGCACTGGATGAACCAGTGTTATCCAGAATCAGGTGGTGAGCATCACAAATGATAATGGCTGGCATCAGCGGCACAGATACCTAGTAGCTTTTCACTTAGTTCTTCTTTGAAGAAAGAGAAAAATCCAACCTCTGTTTCTTCAGAATAAACAACTGAGTTCAGAGTGCTATAAATCATCGATATGAAGATGTTTTTAAATTTGGTTTCCATGTGTTAGAAAGTAAGAGGCAAGACAACTAGACACATGTTATCAAACATAGGATTATGCCTCTGTATCATGTCTTTTCTAGGTCTAAAGAACCATTTAGCTACTTGTATAAACAGCATAGCATTGTAAAAACACGTATAACCCCTTCTGTCAATTGCTTTTTTTTTATACAGAGGATGAACAGAGGGAGAAATCTGTCTCCCATCATACTGTCCAGCAGCTAATAGTGGAGAAGGAACAAGCTTTGGCAGACCTGAACTCTGTGGAGAAATCACTTGCAGACCTTTTTAGGAGATATGAAAAAATGAAAGAAGTTCTGGAAGGATTTCGGAAAGTAAGTCAGGGTGTGTCTTCAACGTAAAAAAATGTAGGATATTAAACTCTGTTTTTCTGAAAACAACAAACAAAACAAATCCTTGGGTAGCCATATAACAAGGTTGTTCCATTTTTTACTCTGTTGTTGCTTTCAAGCATGAGTCCACTTGTCAAGGTTCAGTTGTAATTGCGCAGGGTGCACATAGTGTGTTTGTACTTGTTCACACACTCATTTGTTCTTGATTATCTGAAAATAGCTTCAGAAGTACCAAAATGTTGTAGAAAACAAATTTGCTGGCATATATGCCATGCTGAAGTTGCAGAAAATATTGTGAAAGATTATTTGAATTCTCTAGCACTTTCCAAGCAATAGCTTATATCAGGGGTTTTCAACCTTTTTTTTTAACAAGTGTTCCCCTTCTGTCTCAGAGTTTCAGTTCATGTACCCCTTTATATTTTTTTCTTGTTTTTAAGGGGGAGGGGGGCAGATTGAGGCCTCGCGGGTAGTGGGGCAGGGGCAGGCACTGCTGAGGCAGGGTGGAGTGGGGCGTGGGATGGAGCTGTGAGCAGCTCGTCCTGAACAGCTCGCCCCAACCCACAGCGACCCCCAGTGTACCCCCTGCAACCCTTTTAAGTACCCCTAGGGGTATGTGTACCCCCAGTTGACAACCACTGACTTATATGCTGGTTGCCTCACCAGGATTTAGACTTTGTTTTTTTCTGGATAAGGACCATTATTTTATTTTTTTGTTAATTTTCTCCATGATATAGCCAGCACAGTGGAGTCCCCTCCTGTAATATAGATACACACTCAAATACAACATAATAAGTGCTGTATTGTAAGCTTTGGGCTCATACAATTGTGTGTGTGTGTGTGCATGCGCACTAAAATATTCTTACAGCAGCTAAAATCATTTGAGCAGCGCAAACAACAGACTTGCTGTTGACACCCTTTAATCTTCACATTTAAGAATGAAGAAGTGTTGAAGAAATGTGCGCAGGAGTATTTATCAAGAGTAAAGAAAGAGGAGCAGAGGTACCAAGCACTCAAAGTCCATGCTGAGGAAAAACTGGACAGGTAATTGCTGTGTGTGTGCTTTTTACTATAGGTAGGGCTAGCATCTTATGATTTTTAGCACTTTTTGGTGGGTATATTATATCATATCATATCAAGTACATGCTAATCTGTCATGAGGAAGAGTGGGAGGTTAAATAAATGACCTGATACTAGGCTTTTTCTGTGGGGGAAGAAAGGAGGAAACCAATGACCACAGTTGAATGCTAATCACCAAACTTGTACTAAGAGAACACACAGAATGTGAGAATACTGCTTGATAAATGGTCCTTTCTGGAATGGACCATACCAAGAGACTTTTTGAATTAATGTGCTTTTCAAGGCAGCTGCAGAAAGTCTTTTAGTTTCATAAGCTTCACTTACTAAGCCAGGCACTAGATCTGATTTTCTTCACTAGGCTCTGAAGCTCAAGTTAGCATTTCTAGAGCCCACTGTAAATCTCTTATAATAATTGCCTCAGGTAATTAATATCTCCATAATGTCAACACTGACCAGTGTTTGTAATTAAACACATTTTTCAGTTCATTTCTCAACTCCTCTCCCAGGGTCAGTCTAATCCAGACACCAGAAGTCATCATAGTTAAAGGCTTAGGAAATGTTCAACAAGTTCTGTGGTACTAGCACAGTTGCTGGTGTGTAACATAGTTTATGAAAATATTTGTAACAACCATGTTCAAGTGATGGTTGGAGTAGTGAAAGGTTTTTCCTTCTTAGTGGGTAGCAGCTCTCAAGTTAAGGTTGCATAGGCACATTCAAACCCATGCTGAGCAACCTTTCTTTCCATACTCATCTGTCATATCCGATCTGTAGGTAGCCTCCATCCTCACTTTTACGTGTTTTAAAATAAACCAGAGGAATTTATATTTTTGTAGAGCCAATGCTGAAATCGCACAAGTCAGGAGCAAGGCTCAGCAAGAACAAGCAGCATATCAGGCCAGTCTCCGCAAAGAACAGCTGAAAGTGGATGCATTGGAAAGAACACTGGAACAAAAGGTAATTTAATGTCTCTGCCGTAAAGCTGATTATTACAGTGATGCGGTGTGCCATCGCCAGTAATGATGGGTGGTGGTTATTAGGCCTGTGCAAATAGGGATGTATACAATTCAATTTGGATTTGGCCAATTTGGAGAACAGTGATTCGATTCAGAGATTTGGGTCGCTGTCCTGAATCAATTCGGCTGAATTGGCTTCGAAAGATTCGACGCTGATTTGGAGAGATTCGGTGATTCGGCCATAGACTATAATGGAGAATCACTGAAATACCTATAACTTTGTCATTTTTTGGTGGATTTGGATGAAAACAGCAGAGATGGTAGCCCCTTCTGAGGACATGAGATCTACCAAGGTTCAAGGAGGTAGGTGCAGGGGTTTCTGGGAAACTGCACCTCAAACTGCTGAAAGCAAAACTCATGTCATGTGTGAGTGTTAAGGCAGAGTGGGATAAAACTGCAGAGATGGTAGCCCCTTCTGAGGGCATGAGGCCTGCCAAGTTTCAAGGAGATAGGTACAGGGGTTTCTGGGAAAGTGCACCTCAAGTTTCTGGTAGCAAAACTTGTGTTGTGTGTGTTTCAGGGCTGTAGGTTGTAGCCGTGTTGGTCTAAGGACATAGGTAGACAAGGTGCTTCGGGTCAATCTGATATCTTTTATTAAACTAATTGAAGAGTTGGAGAGCTATATCTTAGCAGGCTCTTGGGTTGAAAAACCCTTTGTCAGGCTGAGGAAGCACCTGCAGTTCATGTTTCTGCTGGTCCTGGATGGAAGAAATAGTAAAGAAACCAGAGGCTGGCATGCAGTGCAGGCAAGAAAGCCAGTCAGTGAAAATGTAAATTGAGGCATCATGGGGTGAGAGACGGGCTGGGAAGGAGGGGGATGTAGCAGGTAAAAGTGGAGAGGTACCTGGGGCATCCCATGTCAGGCAGGTGGTAGTGTGTCATAAATCCAATGTCTATATTGAGTCCATGAGGTTTTGTATGTTGGAGGTGGATGAAGTGAAGTATGTTGTTTCTACATCCCTCCCCCAGAGCGCTGTGATTGGAAGGGAACTCAGGGAAAGATAACAGTCACTGGCCAGCTACAGATGTCAGTCTTCCCCCCCCCACCCCCTTCTCT